AGTTCTGTGCACCTCTGTGGTCTGAGAGGCCATTTCTTCCCCTAGTTTGGGGAAGTTTTCAGCAATTATTTCTTCAAAGACACTTTCTATCCCTTTTTCTCTCTCTTCTTCTTCTGGTACCCCTATAATGCAGATATTGTTCCGTTTTGATTGGTCACTCAGCTCTCTTAGAATTCTTTCATTCCTGGAGATCCTTTTATCTCTCTCTGCATCAGCTTCCCTGCATTCCTGTTCTCTGTTTTCTAGTCTATTAATGGTCTCTTGCATCTCGTCCATGCTGTTCTGAAGTCCTTCCAGAGCTTGTTTTATTTCTGTATTCTCCTTCCTTAGTTATTGCATATTTCTCTGCAAGTCCATCAGCATGCTTATGACTTTTGTTTTGAATTCTTTTTCAGGAAGACTGGTTAAATCTATCTCCCCAGGTTCCTTCTCAGGGGAAGATGTAGCAGATTCCGAAGCTGTCTGGGTTAGTCTTGTCTGGATCATATTTTTTTGCCTTTTCATGTTGATAGGTGCTATTGACTGTCAGCTGCGGGGGCCAAACTTTTCATTTGCTACTGGCCTTTCTTTACTGGGACAACTGCGACCTCTAGTGGCTTGTGTTGGGTAATTGCGTGTAGACGGGATCTTTGTGTCTTGCCCTGCTGGTGTGGAGGAAGCTCCCTTTCTGAGGGTGGGGCGTGCCTTAGGCTGCTTCTCTGCTTTTGCAGTGCCTGGAGGGTTAATGGACGGGGGGCTGTTTGGCTGTTTACCTCCGTGAGGGGTCTCAGAGCTGTTGCCCAGGGAGTTAGTGCGCCCGGTTTTTCCTGTAATTTCCAGCCACTGGGCTGTGACCTGTGTTGTTTCCGTCCAGCTGTTACGTCCCTGTCCCTTTAAGACTTTCAAAAAGCACTTGCTTTTCTTTGTCACAGGGGCATCAGCTTCGGAACCTGCTCAGATGTCTTGCTACCCTGTTTCCCTAGTTTCCAGCCCTCCACGCATGCACTGTGTCTGTGCTCTGGTGCGGGTGGTTGGGGCTGAGTGTTTAGCAGTCCTGGGATTCCTCTCCCTCCCCACTGCAACTCCTCTCCTCCCGCCGGGAGCTGGGGGTAGGTGTGCTCGGGTCCCACCAGGCCGGGGCTTGTATCTTACCCCTTTCACCAGGCGCTGGACTCTCGCATGTGTGGATGTAGTCTGGCTGTTGTCCTGTGTCTTCTGGTTTCTCTTTTAGGATTAGTTGTATTTGTTGTATTTTCAAAAATATATATGTTTTTGGGAGGAGATTCCCACTGGCCTACTCATGCCACCATGTTGGTTCCACCCTGGACTAAGGGTTTTTTATTGTACAGTTTCTGCTTTCATTTTTGACCCCATATTTTCTATAGTGGTTATATATGACTTACCAGAAAAAAATGACTTGCACTGAATTTTTTTGAGCTTGAATCAGAGAAGAGAGTTTTAGACTGAGTACTTGCTGTTGGCCAGGCACTTTGCCAAGTACTAGGTTATTTTCCTAACCCTACCAAAATTCTCTAAAGTAAATACTATTTTCCCCATTGTATTGGTGAGAACACTAAGGCTTATAGAGGTTAAGTTACTCAGGCTCATATAGTTAGTAATTAGCTGAGCCAGGACTAAAATCCAGGTCTGACTCCAAATTCTGTTGTCTTTGTAATCATTTTCTAAGTCAGCTGGATTTCTAGACAAATTTTTTTCAGAACCTTTTACCATTTGTATCAGAGTCTCAGCAAAGCTGAGGCTGTAATAGCTTGTCTTTAAATTAAAAGTGTATCATTTCCAGCATGGGTAAGATCTCTGATGCCCTTGTGCTCTAACTAATTTCAGAATTTGGTGATACAGCCACTTCTGTAGCAGCAAACCCAGATGCCACTACGATAAGCATTGAGGATGCTCATGAAACCCCAAAACTTCATCCAGGACCCCCAGGAGGCTCAAGGAGAGAAGAGGATGATGAGTTACTGGGGAATGATGATTCTGACAAAACTGAGGTTCAAACTTGTCTTTGAAATTGTTTTTCTCTTTTAACTTTTAAAAAACATTTTCACACATTTACTCATTATCTCCTGTATGCAGCATAGAGGGTCAGGCGCTGGCAGCATGAAGGTAAATCACATGTAGCCTCTGCCTTGGGGAGACACAGGCAAACAGACCATGGTTACCCAAGCCTGTTGGTGGAGGGGAGCACCAGTATTGTGGGAGCAGAGGAAAGGAGGTTATGGATGGCTTCCTGGAGGTAGTGATCCTTAAATTGAGTCTTGATGAAAGTGTAGGAGGTAGCCAAGGGCAGAAGGAAGGGAAGGGTGATATAGGCAAAGGGAACAGTTTTGGGAGTCACAGAGGCATGAAAACATGGTGCAGACAGAGTGTCTCCTACCTTCACTTCCACTGGGAGCAAAATACAGGTGAAGGCAGTAGATGAGGTGACACAGATAGGTAAGTATTTATCATACTCTGAACACTCTTAGGAGATATTGATGGATTTTAAACAATGTGGCTGAATATGTTTAAAGATATTTCAGAAATAATGCTATGTGGAGTAGAAATTGGAAGGAGATGGACCGGATGCCAAAAAACCAGGTAGGAGACTGTTGAAGTGGTCTAGGCTAGAAATGATGAAGCCCAGACTAGAACTGACACAGATATTTAGTGGGTGAGCTCAGTGGGACTTGGTAGAAAAGAGGTGAGGGAGAGAGAGCAGGGATTCTAGGGTGACACCAGGTTTCTATGTTGGGTTGGATGGTGAATTTCAGGTGGCTGATTTTGAGCATTAAGATTTAGTTCTATGTTCCTATTGTATTCTGGAAAAAATAATATTTCTATTAATATTTTATAAATACATCATGATTGTGATGCAATAGAAGAGCACCTAGTTTACAGCATTCAGCTTACAGGTGTACTGAAATAGTGGAGCTCTTGGGTGCCAGGTGCTCTCTGTAGAACTCCATGATATTTCAAAATATGTACCAAAAAAATACATCAAGAGGATCATACACCATGATCAAGTGGGATTCATCTCAGGGATGCAAGGATGGTACATTTGAAAATCCATCAACATTATCCACCACATCAACAAAAAGAAGGACAGAAACCACATGACCATTTTCATAGAAGCTGAAAAAGCATTCAACAAAATTCAACATCCATTCATGATAAAAACTCTCAACCAAATGGGTATAGAGGGCAAGTACCTCAACATAATGAAGACCATATACAACAAACCCACAGCCAACATCATACTTAACAGCGAGAAGCTGAAAGCTTTTACCTAAGATCGGGAATAAGACAGGGATGCCCATTCTCCCCACTGTTATTCAACATAGTACTGGAGGTCCTAGCCACGGCAATCAGGCAAAACAAAGAAATACAAGGCATCCACATTGGTAAAGAAGAAGTCAAACTGTCACTATTTGCAGATGACATGATATTGTACATAAAAAACCCTAAAGACTCCATTCCAAAACTACTAGAACTAATATCTGAATTCAGCAAAGTTGCAGGATACAAAATTAATACACAGAAATCTGTTACTTTCCTATACACTAAAGATGAACTAACAGAAAGAGAAATCAGGAAAACAATTCCATTCACAATTGCATCAAAAAGAATAAAAGACTTAGGAATAAACCTAACCAAGAAAGTGAAAGACCTATAACCTGAAAACTACAAGACACTCTTATTAGAAATTAAAGAGGACACTAACAAATGGAAACTCATTCCGTGCTCTTGGCTAGGGAGAATTAATATTGTCAAAGTGGCCATCCTGCCCAAAGCAATATACAGGTTCAATGCAATGCCTGTCAAAATACCAACAACATTCTTCAACGAACTGGAACAAATAGTTCAAAAATTCATATGGAACCACCAAAGACCCTGATTAGCCAAAGCAATCCTGAGAAGGAAAAATAAAGCAAGGGGCATCTCGCTTACCAACTTCAAGCTCTACTACAAAGCCACAGTAATCAAGATAATTTGGTACTGGCACAAGAACAGAGCCACAGAACAGTGGAATGGAATAGAGAGTCCAGATATTAACCCAAACATATACGGTCAATTGATATATGATAAAGGATCCATGGACATACAATGGGGAAATGACAGCCTCTTCAACAGCTGGTATTGGCAAAACTGGACAGCTACATGTAAGAGAGTGAAACTGGATCACTGTCTAACCCCATACACAAAAGTAAATTTGAAATGGATCAAAGACCTGAATGTAACTCATGAAACCATATAACTCTTAGAAAAAAACATAGGCAAAAATCTCTTGGACATAAACATGAGCGACTTCTTCATGAATGTATCTCCCTGGGCAAGGGAAACAAAAGCAAAAATGAAAAGTCGGACTCTATCAAGCTGAAAAGCTTCTGTACAGCAAGGAACACCACCAATAGAACAAAAAGGCATCCTACAGTATGGGAGGATATATTCATAAATGAAAGATCCGATAGAGGGTTGACATCCAAAATATATAAAGAGCTCACGCACCTTAACAAACAAAAAGCAAATAATCCAATTAAAAAATGGGCCGAGGAGCTGAACAGACAGTTCTCCAAAGAAGAAATTCAGATGGCCAACAGACACATGAAAAGATGCTCCACATCGCTTGTCATCAGAGGAATGCAAATTAAAACCACAATGAGATATTGCCTCATACCAGTAAGGATTGCCACCGTCCAAAAGACAACAACAAATGTTGGCGAGGTTGTGGAGAAAGGGGAACCCTCCTACACTGTGGGTGGGAATGTAAACTAGTTCATCCATTGTGGAAAGCAGTATGGAATTCCTCAAAAAGCTCAAAATAAAGATACAATTTGACAAATTCCACTTCTAGGAATTTACCCTAAGAATGCCGTAGCCCAGTTTGAAAAAGACATATGCACCCCTATGTTTATTGCAGCACTATTTATAATAGCCAAGAAATGGAAGCTATCTAAGTGTCCATCAGTAGATGAATGGATAAAGAAGATGTGGTACATATGCACAATGGAATATTATTCAGCCATAAGAAGAAAACAAGTCCTACCATGTGTACCAGCATTGATGGAGCTAGAGGGTATTATGCTCAGTGAAATAAGCTAGGTGGAGAAAGACAAGTACCAAATGATTTCACTCATATGTGGAGTATAAGAACAAAGAAAAAACTGAAGGAACTAAACAGCAGTAGACTCACAGAACCCAAGAATGGACTAACAGTTACCAAAGGGAAAGGGACTGGGGAGGATGGTGGGAAGGGAGGGATAAGGAGGTGGGGGGAAGAAAGGAGGCATTACGATTAGCATGTATAATGTGTGGGGCACAGGGAGGACTGTGCAACACAGAGAAGACAAGTAGTGATTCTACAGCATCTTACTATGCTGATGGACAGTGACTGTAATGAGGTTTGTGGGGGGGACTTGGTGAAGGGGGTATCCTAGTTAACATAATGTTCCTCATGTAATTGTAGATCAATGATACCAAAAAAAGAAAAAGAAAAAGACGTGCCAAAATTTATGCCAAATTATATACCATCATTTACTAGATGCTGTGGCGAGAGCTTAGACTTAGGAGCCTAACTTTGAATCCTGGTCCAGGCAGTAGTTATAGCTATGTCGTCTTGGACAAGGTGCATTATCTCCCCTAAGCCGTGGTTTCCTCATCTGAAATATAAGAAAATCATATGTTGACTATTAACATCATCATCATCATCACAATAGCCAGTATTTATTCAATGTTTAATACCACTGGGCACCATTTAGTTCCTTACTTGGATCATCTCATTTAACCCTTAAAATTACCCTGTATTCCAGGAACCTTCTTATTCTCATTCTACCAACTTGAAGCACAGAGCTTAAGTAACTTGCCCTAGTACACACAACTGGCAGGTGACAGGTGGAACTTTAAACTGAGGCCTTCTAAATCTAGAGCCTGTGCTCCTCCCCTCTGTATTAGAGTTATTATACATTAAGTGCTTATTAATGTTGTTTTACCTTCAGGGTACAGAGGTGATTTTTAGTATAGCTGAGTTATTAATTCGTCAAGTCAGAGAAATAGAACCAACAGGATGTATAGAAAGAGAGAAAGATTTTTTTAAAGAATCGGTTCACATGGTTGTGGTTATGTGACAAGTCCAAAATCTGCTGGAGGCAGCTGGCGGGCCAGAGACTCAGGAAAGAGTTGGAGTTTGAGCCCAAAGGCAGTCTGCTGTAGGTCCCGGAAGAGCCGATGTTGCAGGTGGAATCTGGAGGCTGTCTGCTGAGGTCCCTCTTGCTCAGGGAGGTGGGCCTTTTGTTCTGTTTGGGCCTTTACCTGACTGGCTGTGGCTGTCCACATTATGGAGAGCAATCTGCTTACTCAAAAAGTCCATCAACTTGAATGTAAAACTCATACAAAAACACCCTCACAGAAATATCCAGCATAGTGTTTGACCAAATATCTGGTTGCCACATAAAATTAACCATTACACTGAGCAGCAGTAGGCATCAGAAGTGTAAGAAGAAATGTATAGGGGAAAATCTTAAAATTGAAACATTGTATCCATGATCTTATCTGGGAATTGGGAAGAGATTACCAATATTCTATGATAGTGACAGAATTCTTTGGCCTAGCTATGGTGCATGTGTCTCTGGTTTTCAGTGTCTTGTGATACTAGAGTTGGACAGAGCCTTCAGTTTCCTCTATTAATGCTTTCCGTGGTATGTCAGAAAGACAGCACCTGAATACCCCAGAAGCCAGCAGTTCATTACCATGTATAGCAGCCAGTGGTGCTGTTGGACAACCTTAATTGTGAAAAAATTTTCCTTTATAATGAACAAGAAATACCTGCCAATACACCTTCCTTTGTCCTGCAAAGCTCCTCAGAGCCCATCAGCACCTTTTGCTGTATGCATCCTCTTTAGACATCTGAAGATGGCAGTCATAATTCCTGCCGTGGGGACTGCACTCTGCTGTCAAATAGCTGTGCTGTTGACAGGTATGGCCCTCCTTGTGTGCCTCTTAGAAGATGGAATTTCCTTTTTTGTCAGAGCAGTACATTTTAAGTTTTTTGTACTTTAGAGTGAATCAGTATGTCAGATTTTGGAGAATTCAGGTGGTGATAGTAAGGATCTTGAGGGAGTAGAGGATTGAGAGATATTTACACTGTCTTCTGTATGGATATGCTTGTGTGTGTATATATGCACATAAATGTTGTTGTACATAATACAGGTTATATATAATTAATCTGATCCTCCCTATAATCTTATGATGTAGATCTTGTTGACTGTACTTTTTAGATAAGAGAACTAAGACCACCCCTGAGTGGAGTAACCATGATTTGAAACCTTTGGTATGACATCAAAACTGATACTTATTTTACACAAGGCTGAGAGTTGGGCATGGCTGATTGATGAATGCAGAAGATCCTGGCCTTTCATACATCTTCATTTTCCTTTAGATTAGCTCCCTCTCTCTTCATAGCTGGAATAAGGAAATAACTTTCATGTTGATCCTGTTGTATTTTACCTCTGACAGTTACTTGCTGGACAGAAGAAAAGCTCCCCCTTCTGGACTTTTGAATATTATCAAACATTCTTTGATGTGGACACCTACCAGGTTTGTAAACCAGTTTCAGTCTTTCCTGTACATGTAATGGAGACTTGTCTCCTCTGTGGTTAAACAAATAACGTGAAAGCTTTTGTATACTGGATATGGTTTTATAAAAATAAAGGGTTGGTTAGCATTTGAAAACACTATCATCATAAAAGTTCTAATAACTGAGTTTCAACTTTGCAATAGTTCAATTTATTAAGCTTTTAAAAAAAATCTTCACTAGACTTTTTGCTGTGTTATTTTCCAGGTCTTTGACAGAATAAAAGGGTCTCTTTTGCCAATACCAGGAAAAAACTTTGTGAGGTTATATATCCGCAGCAATCCAGATCTCTATGGTATGTGTAGTGCCCTTTTTGTTTTTTACTGGGTACCAGTTGAACTCGGGTGTGTGTCTGGGATGCCTAGAAGGTTGGATAAGTATGCTGTTGGTGGGGCATGAAACATTTTATTTGACTTGTCTAGCTTCCGTGCAATCCTTGCAAACAATTGTGGAGAAAATGAAAATGTGATTATATGTTAATGCCATGATTCCAAGTAATAGGATGTGCTTTGAAAGTCTTCAAATTACATCACAAATTTGAGACAAAGTAAGACACTTTGACTAAGAGGAGACTCTTGGTTTTAATTTTTAGAGGATTTGGTGGTGGTGGTGAGTGTGGAGAAGGTACCCTATACTTACTCGTTCATGAGCTGAGTCAAGCATCCCCTGGGGATTCAGTAACAGCACTGGAAGTCTGGAAGAGGGGTGGGCTGGGGGATGACTGTCACCCCCAACCTCCCTGTGGAGAAAAGGCCAGCCGCCCTCAGTGCTCTTGGGGAGATGGGCTCCAGCATCAGTAGCCTTCTATGTTTGTGGAGAGAAGAGAGCCAATGGTTCTCAGTGCTTTCTTTGTGCAGGTGCTCTATGAATTATGAAAGACTGTGTACATGGTCACATTTAATTCTTGCAATAACCTTCAGGACAGGTATTATTGTCCCCATTTTTCAAGTGAGGAAGCTGACACTCCAGTGAGGCTCAGTAATATATATGCCCAATTATAAAAAGTAAGTATTAGGACAATTACATATTGTGATTGTAAGAGGAAAAGGACCTCATGAGAATCTACTGTGTGCCAGTCACTACATACACTGTTTAGTCCTTTCAATAAGACTGTTAAATACTAATATCCCTTTTTTCCATGTGAGAAAACTAAGGCTAAGAGTTGTCGAACTAAAAATAGTCTGGAACCAAGTTTAGTGTTACATAACCCTATATTTATTCTATAAGTCTGGTGGTTTTATACTCTAGAATGTTTTCATCAAACGGCACAGATATCCAATATTTAAGACTAGTAGAAGTGGAACTGCTCCAGTGGAGGTTGAGGAGAGGCTCCCTTCTGTAGAGCTCCCCGTCTCTGTGATGTTCCTAGAAGTTCAGTCCGCAGTTCTGGGGCTCTGGTGAGGATGGTGTGAAAACCATTACCAGGGCTGGTGCCACTCATCTAGGACTGCCGCGGCAGTTTCTCTTTCCAGCTCTGTCATTCATTCTCCTAGCCTGACAGTTTCTTGAGAGGCAACCTCTGTGTCTGACGAATCCATGTTAGCAGTGCCTGGCAGAGGGCTTGGCACAGTAAATGCTCAAACAATTTTTGAGCATATAATCTTGTGATACATATCGAGGATTCCACAATGCAGTCATAATCTCCACCCCCAAAGAGAGAAATGCGAGAGCTGACATTGATTGAATACCATACAAGTGCCACACATGGAGCTCAGCATGGTTTTACTACTTTGTACAATTTTATTTCCCACACTCCAAGGAAGATTTGCTTATTAACAAAAGAGAAAATTGAGGTTTGGGGAGGATAACTGGCCCATTGTCACAAAGTTAGCAAAAATAACAATAAAAGCAGGCATACATAGAGTGCTTATCATGCACCAGTGTTACTGGGGAAGAACCTATATTAACTCATTTAATCCTCAGAACAACTTCAACTTTATGAGGTACATACTGTTATTATCTACAGTGTATAGATGAGGACACTGCATCACATAGGGTCAAGTAACTTGTCTGAGATCATATAGCCAGTAAGGGGCTGAGCTCAGCTTTAAAATCAACACTGAAGCTCATGATCCCTAGTCTTCATCACTGTGTTATGCTTTCTAGTAAAAAAGCCAGGATTTGAACCCAAAGCTTGCTTCTTTCTACAACACTGTTAGCCTCATGAGCTCATAGACATGGTTAAGAAACGAAGGTATTCTGTAGGTGAAGTGTTCTGTAGCAGAGAGGATTGGGCCATATGGGGTAGGTGGGAGGAAGGTGGTCAGGAAAAAGATGACAGGTGTGTCAGCCTGCAGAATCTGAGGGAAATATCAATGAATTTGACTACATTTAAACTAAAATTTAAGATTTCTACACCACAAAAACCATAAGCAAAGTAAAAAAATAAACCACAGACCAGAGATAATATTTGCAATGCTTAAAACCAACAAAGAATGGAAAGCAAGACGATATGTAGAATTCCTACCAATTATGAGAATAAAACCAATTATAAGTTCTGGGGGGAAAAGCAACTGACCGAAAAGGAAACCCAAATGGCCAATACATATATGAATAGATGCTTAGTTCCATCTGTAATCAGGGAAATGAAAACAAAACAAAATATTATTTGTGCCCATCATTTTAGCAAACATAAACTTTGTCTTCATTCATTCAGTTCATTTAACAAATATTGAATACTTACTATGTTAGGCACTGAAGATATAGCAGTGAAAAAAACCACAAAAACCCCTGCCCTGAAGCAGTTTATAATCTACTGAGCTTAATAAACAAAATAAGAAAAATATATAGTGTGCTATTCTAAATGCTAAGGTGAAAAATTTGAAAGACAGGAGATGTTTGCATAGGTGGGTGGATTTGAAATTTTTTTAAATTTGAAAAGGTGAATTTTGAAAAGACCTGAAGGAATTAGGAGCAATATGTGTAGATATCTAAGGGAAAAAGTATTTGAAGCAGAGAGCTCAGCAGTACAAAGGTTCTGAGGCAGGAACTTGCCTAGTATGCTCAAAGAACAGCGGAGAGACTAGTGTGACAGGGCTGGAGTGAGCATGGGTCCTAATGGGTGAGGTCAGAGAGGCACTGTGGAGGGGCAGATCACAGAGTCTGGGTCACAGTGAGCACTTGGGCTTTTACTTAACTGAGAAACCACTGGAAGGTTAAAGCAGAGCAGTGACATGCTCCAAGTCAGATGTTCATAAACTTTGATACCAAGAGTTGTCAAGAATGTGGAGCATTGGGACACTCTCTATATCTGGTGTGTATGTAACTGATACACAAATTGGAGCAGTTTGAAGATGCTAATGCCCTACAACTTAATGGTTGTACTCCTAGATATATATTCTTAGAGAAACCCATATACATAAAAGAAGACCCAGAGAAGAATATTATTCACTGCAGCCGCATTGTTTGTGATAGCAAATACTTAGAAACAACCAAAATAGTCATCAGCAGGAGAATGGATAAATAAATTGTAGTGTGTTCATACATGGAATTCTCTAGTTTTCAGAAAGTGATGAGATATATGAGCATCAGTGTGGCTAAATCTCAGAACAATGGTAAAAGAAAAAAGCATGTTGTAGAAGGATATGAATAACATACCATTAGAAGGATTTGAAAAAGTGGTATGATGGGTACACCAATGTTTGTTTTGTCCTTCTTTGTGCTAATCTGTGTTAGAAATATTTCATAATATAAAAATGCATAATGTAAACTAAGTTAAGGCTCTCACTCACCTCTACTGCACAATAAAAGTAGGAATTTGGCAGGAAAGAGGAAGAGAGAAGGCAGGATGAAGCAACATGACAGGCCCTGGGAAGAGTAGGTGGCTATGTGTTTCTGGAGCCCAAGCTTCCTATGTCGTGCATGTGCTAGAAACAGTGGCTTTGCCTCTTGTACATCACTGTGCCCCAGCACCTAGCCCAGGGTTTAGAGGGCAGTGGGTTCTTAGTAAATAATAGCCAATAGGGCCCGATATTCTCTGCTTTTTAATACTTTGGCCACTATGGTCCTATGCTTGGATGGCCTCAGCCCATTGACACAGCTCATGGTCAATTTTGTTCATTCAACAAAGTTTTTGGGGATTTTAAAAATGCTGTTGGTTGTAGGGTTTTGTTTGTCTTTGTGTTTGCTTATTGCATCTTTTGTATGCTAGGCACTCACAATAACACAGTGAACACGAGTTAGTCCTTTCTGTAGCAGAGAGCATGCAGGCTAGTGATTAAACAGCAATTGGTGGGCAGCTGATGTTGGTGACTTTTTGAAACATCCCAGTGGATTGCTGTGCTCCCTTTCCCACCTCCAGGAATATACTTGGCTTTGAAAAGTACTAGTCCATTTCTGCTCATCATCTCCCCGGACATTATAGCTTTCTTAATTTTAGGATATGTCAGGGTGCCTGCAGTTACCCCAAAAGGTGTTGTGAAATATTAGTGAAATTGAAAAGTGGAGTTCATAACTTTATAAAACTCTCTCAATTTGAAAATCATGTTAGTACTTTTTCTAGATGGAGAGAAATAAGGATGTTGTTCATAAAATTAAGTGAAATAATGAAACGGATTCACAAAGTTTGCTGTATTCATTCAGTGGAGTATTTATTTATTTATTTATTTATTTATTTATTTATTTATTTATTTATTTTTGTTAGGTTTATTCCTAGGTATTTTATTCTTTTTGATGCAATTGTGAATGGAATTGTTCTCTTGATTTCTCTTTCTATTGGTTCATTGTTAGTGTATAGGAAAGCCACAGATTTCTGTGTGTTAATTTTGTATCCTGCAACTTTGCTGTATTCCGATATCAGTTCTGGTAGTTTTGGAGTGGAGTCTTTAGGGTTTTTTATGTACAATAT